CCCCCCCCCCCCCCAAAAAAACTCAATCTTACGCAAAACCTTCTCAAAATAAACACGGGAAATAGCAGAAAAGTAAAAAAAAAATAGAAAAAGAAAAGAATTACATTACACAAAAACGAATATCATGGATCAGGATCAACCCAAATTTGTGGTGGAAGCCTCAGAGGCTGAGTCCATTGCCCAAAAACTAGGCCTATCTTCAGTCCGCCACCTCCTTCCGGCCTTGGTTCAACCGGCCCAGACTCTCGCCCGGCCGCCCATCTCCAACTACCACGTCGGTGCCGTCGGCCTCGGCTCCGACGGCCGTATCTTCCTCGGCGTTAACCTCGAGTTCCCTGGTTTACCCCTTCACCATTCCGTCCACGCCGAGCAATTTCTCCTCACGAACCTCGCCGTCCACCGTTGCCCCCGCCTCGTTGCATTCGCCGTCTCCGCCGCCCCTTGCGGCCACTGCCGACAATTCCTTCAGGAACTCCGTAACCCTTCTTCCCTCCAAATCCACATCACTTCTCAGCACCAAAACAATCCCGATGTTGTCACATTTGAACCATTGAGTGAAATCCTGCCTAACCCATTTGGTCCGTTTGATCTATTGGATGACGAAACTCCTCTGCTCCTCGAGCGCCATAACAACGGTTTATCTCTGTTTAATGATAATCATGATGGAGATCTGTGCAATGGGTTTTCAGATAATGATTCAAAAAGAGTTAATGGCGTTGTGAATTTAAGCAATGGATTTTGCAAAAAGACTGAAACAGAAAATACTAACCTTTTAAAGATTGCAGCTTTAGAAGCTGCTAATGATTCACACGCGCCTTACAGCGGTTGTCCATCAGGGGTGGCACTCATGGATTCTGAAGGCAAGATTTACAGGGGTTCTTATGTGGAATCAGCTGCTTATAATCCAAGTTTAGGGCCAGTACAGGCGGCATTGGTGGCTTATGTCGCCGGAGGTGGTGGTGGATATGAGCGGATTGTGGCGGCGGCTTTGGTGGAGAAGGAAGGTGCAAAGGTAAGGCAAGAGGATACGGCAAAGCTATTTTTCAAGATGGTTTCTCCTAAATGTGACTTGAGGGTGTTCCATTGCTCATTTGCTAAGAATGGATGTATAAAGGATTGAAATTTATGTGAGTTTAACCAATATTTGTTCATTAGTAGTCTGCATTGGCTTTGTACAAATATCAAGTTTGATGATGAATCAATTCATGAATAAATAAAAATTTAGTCCTACTCTTTTTATGATGATTCACTAAGTTTAAGAAGGAATGCATTAATTTTGTGATTCCTTTTTTTCCGCTCTTCGGTTAGCTACACCCGCTTACATGTGCTCATTTTGTAATTTTCTATACTGATGACCTATTTCAAGATCGGACGATCCACCTCTTTGACTAACTTGAATAGGTCAGTTACGAAGGAAACAACCCACAAAAGAGAGATCAGATGCCTTTTTCGATGTAGTTCATGATATGGGGCGAACTCTAGATACCTTTTCCGATGTAGTTCATGATATGGGGCGAACTCTAGCTTGCTTGGAATTGAGACACTTTATTTTGTTGTTAATGCTATAGGTCTTATTGCTTTTTCTTTAAAAAAAAAAGAGATCTTATTGCTAGGCTTAGGTAGGTATTCACAGTTCATGTGAATCATGCTTCTATGTGCCCCTTTACAAATTAAGCTGGCATTGGGTTGGCAAATTTAACTTTCTAGTTGAATCAGCGTGCAAAATCCATTATTTTTGCAGTAATGTGGGCAGTTCGATACACGAAGCATTTCGCGTTTATATAGGGTTCGGGGAAAGGTCGCACTCCAATGGAGTATAATATAGGCAGACTAACCTAATGCAAGCATTAGTGGTCGATTCCACTGCTCGAACCTGTAACCTATATATCACACGAAGGCACCTTTACGGTTTCTGTCTATTTAATGGAGTAATATTACGTGAGAGTCGGGACTACCAAGTCACAAATGAGATTCTAAGAACTGGCATATTCCGTTTGATAGTAATATTTGCTTAAATTTAATCAACAGTGGTTAACTAATCAATATATAAGCTCCCAAATCTCACTACATTAATTGGTTTCAGAAGAAACCATCTTTTTATTAGTGTACTTGATTAATATTTTCCTTCTTTATCTTCTTGATTAAGCATTGTCAGATACAGTATAAGAATATTTTACTGCGGTGTCTAGTATAGTAATTGAAGGTCAAATTGTATATTTTGTACTATCCACTTTCTGCTGCTGCTTTATGCCTTATCTTTCTTTCTTTTCCCCTTTTGATTACCCTTTTACTAAAAGAGACATGTTGGAAAATATCCATCTCAAGATTGGACTTACATGCAACTTGAACATTTTCACGCAAAGTGGTGTTGTAATTGGTTGGTTTTAGAGCAGCCTCAGATGGAACTCCAATTACACAGACTTCTTTTTTAAAATGATATACTCATTAGAGTTTTATCTTCTTGCTTTTGATGGAATTCAATCATTAACTTTTAAGCAAAAATAATAATTCTATCATTAACTTGATCACTTTAATTAATATTTGATAAATACTGGTTGACTGTTCTATTAATCATTTGGAGAGATAGGTGTCATCCTTATCGTGGTTTCTCTTGAGATAAAGATTGATCAAAGATGAGTCTTCTATCAGAAAGCACAGCGTATGTATGTTTGTCTAGTATAGTTTGAAAATCTTTCTGCACTCCGAGACCCAACTGTTTCATTTTAATTCAAGGTTGCAAAATTTTCTTGCGTCTGCGATATTGCTTCCAAAATGATGCACAAACAAAATGACTATTTTCCACGACGTCCACAACAACTACACAATTCGAATTTGATTACGTACACTGATCTTGGGCTATTGGTCCTTGAATTGGGGATTTTCTAATATAAAAAAAAAATCATTTTGGTTCACGAACAAATTGAACAAGGATCAACTCGTAATGCAGTGAATAATAATCACTCAAACCATTACTATCCTTTCAGAGGAGGACCCTAAATGATCCACCGTATGCTCTCTAGGAAAATAAATAAATTGAGTTCAGTAAGCTATAATATACGTTATAGACGAAGTTTCAAGAGTAGCATATTTTACGAAAACTGTCTACTTGTAGCTATTTAATATCCCTACCAAATATTGATCAACTGTTTCGGCAGCCAATCAAATTTAATTTTGATAGCCGCATCGGTCATTTCAAATTTGTATAAGCACCACGGGATTTTTAGAGTTGGATTCATATTTTTACTATTGTTTTCACTCTAGAATCATGAAGACTGCTTAGAGAGCATTTAGGAGGGTTTAAGAACTGTTTTGGCCGAGAAATATAAGTTAAAACGAGTTATAATTGACTTACATACGAGCTGGACTTTCCCACCAACTTCGTGTGTCCCAAAGGAGTTGCTTGCGCAGTCTCGCGAAAATGTGAATATCTTTCTACTCCGACGTCGTATAGACAAACGGTTTAATGCGTTGGAAACTAGACTCGTAGACCTTCAATTTGATATGTGGATCACCCCGTAATTATATTTTATTGAGCGAAAAGCTGTGCTACTTTTGACCTAATTTTCAACACATTTATAAATGTAACTTGTGATGACCTTTCTTCGACTTTTCTTGACTTCAAAACTCAACACACGACTATAATAATTCATACATAACCTCCTTATCATATTAAGCACCCTGGTCTCACCTCAAAAGTACATGTTATGACATTCCCATCTTAGGGTCATAAGCTGAAAATTTGCACATCCGGTATGCACGATCTGATAGGGCCTCAAACAGGGCCACACCGTTAAGAACTCTCTCTCTCTATCTATTAATGCCCTTACATGTTGTTGTATTTGCCCTCTGGCTAGATATAATCTTCCTAATTGTAAACATCTCTGTAATGTTAGCAAACATAAGTCTTGCTTCAAACTCTTATGACTCAGTTATATAGTTCGATTTGAATTTGAAATTGAAAGAAGGGTAACAGATTTCTAAATGCCTTGTAGTTTCGTATTTATATAATGTGGTGCACAATACATCTATAAACAAGGCTCTACTAGGCTAGAAAATGATAATGTCATTTCATTAAACTCTATCCCGATACCCAATTCCTCATTGCAATTCTAAATTTCTCAGATCTGACACAAATCAACGTATATTATCAGTACTCATTACAACACATTAGGACTAAAAATCGTCAATAATATTTTTTATTAAAAAAAAAAGAGAAAAAAGATATGCAAATACCTTAATCGGCTTCTTAGAAGCAATTTGTCTGATTTTATGGTATTCCACTTCTTCTCTCCTATTCAGTGGGCAGGATACAAGATTTCAATAAACATAAGTTGTTGACGAATTATTCATCGAAAGTTTATCTAGACTTTTTAAAACATGCTATGTGAACTGATAGTAGACGATAATTACGCAATTTAGATACTATTTACATTCTAATTTGGCCGCACTTTATTAATATTTGAATGTAAAAGATAACAAAATGCTCTAATTAAGAGTTTTACATTTTGCACGAGCCACTCCAAGCAAAGAGGAAGCTAAAGAGTCTTTTGGAGTCAATATGGAGCGTGGAAGGCCAATCGGAGAATAGCACGTCGAAAAGGAGAAAGAAGAGCAAGTGCCAGCTCCGCGATCAGATCCGCAGCCGCGGACAGAACAATTGTCAAATCCGCAACCGCAGTCAAGCTGACGGGAGCCAAGAAGCAAGGTTCAAATATGTAATTTTTAGGGCGACTAACATAAACCCATATGAAGCCTAATTCGTCCTAAAGAGAAGGAGAGCTGTTTTTAGAGAGATTTTCAAGACAAGAACACAAAAGAAAGATAGAGAATTTTCCTTAGAGTTTTATTCTTCTTCTTTTTAATTCTATTGATGATTATGACTTTATTTAGTGAATTTTTATCTCTTAGTATGAGTAGTTAAACCCGTCATCTAGGGTTGATGGAACCAATTGTTAGATGAAGTCTTGACTATATTTTGATATAAGTGAGACGTTTTCACTCTATGATTGTTCAACTACGTATTGTCTTGTGATTAATTGAAAGGGCCCTTGATTAATCGTGTCTAGTTATCTTGTGTTGCTTGAGAAAGAGCATTTGTTAGATTGTTGTTGAACAACACCACTTTTGGGTAAGTTAAGAGATTAATTACTTGAATTTAAAAGTAGGGTTAGAGATAACGAAGCTTTGGGGGGATAATTCTGAGTTACATAAATTGTTAGCTAGAGTAGTTCGATAGAATGCTTCTAATAAATTATCGTAATTGATCGAGAGATAGTAGCGGTAACCCAGAACTCATATTTCTTATAGAGTGTTACGACGAGATTATAGCTAACCTGTCAGGAATTAATCCGACAATTGTGGAAATCAATACCCCTAGACCATTTTACCATTGAATTTAACTCTATTTTAGATTATTGCTAGTTTTATTGCTATTTTTCCTTGGTTAACTAAATTCTACTCATTATCCATCAAAAATCTTGCATCCGGAAATTGTTTGAGCTTATCATTAGCAGTGGTAAAAGTTGTAGTAAATAGGTTAGTTTCCTGTGGGATTCGACTCCGGACTGAATCGGATTATATACTTGCAGCAATCGCTGAATCCTTTTTATAAGGCATAGTTGGACGTGATCAAATTTTGGCGTGGTTGTCGGGGAACTAACGGTGTTATTTATTGCAACTTAGAATAATTGATAGGGTTATTAGTTTAGATCAATTTTCTGTGGTGTTAAAAATATTTCCATTGAAATTTTCACGTTTGAACTCTTCTGTGACCCAGATACATGCCTAGAAACTCTTTGAGAACTGGTGAACTCTTTGAAGGACTCTCAGATCCCGAGAAAGCATTCCAGATATTGAACCGGGCTAACAAGAAGAGCAAACTCCTAAAACAAAACAAACAAATTAAAACTGAAATGGGTGACGTAGACAACAGGAATGATCGAGATGACCCAAACGTCAGAGTAGTAGCACCTCTTGTGCCAAAAGCTGCTCTTTATGAATAGGCGCAACCAACTGCTAATAACCTGGCCACAGCAATTGCGGTTCCTCAGATACAAACGGTGACATTCTAGATTACCAACAACATATTGCACTTGTTTCAGAATAAAGGGATGTTCTCCGGGTCATATATCGAAGACCCACAACAACATCTGAAAAACTTTCTATCGATATATGTCACTCAAAGATAGCCGAATGTGACTCCCGAGGCAATTAAATTATTACTGGTCCCATTCTCAGTGACAGGGGAGG